TGGAGGTTAGCCTCTCGGATGACCTCCTTCTATAATACTCGAATCATTAGAGTCATGCGATGTTGATGAATGTCTACTTTGATTTTCGACGACGACGAGCTGACACGTTTGGATTTATTAGAGACACAGGTGTGCGGCGGGCGACAGGTCTACCAGGACTAGACATCGTCTTCTGAAATCATACTCAGATTTCAGAAAACACTTCGCATGGAATCAGTCCCGTCGATGAACCCATATAACTTATGGTTTCATGTGGTAATCTAAAAACAAAAACAAAACTCTCTATTTAGGTAGGATTACCGGATGGATAGTATTCGGATTACCCCAATGATTTTACTATCATGCTTTATGCATTGAGGGGTGATCGTTCGCGTAAAAATAAGATGGATAAAGTGAGAAGCAATCGTCTGAAAACGTTGTCAAGCAAAGCAGCGGAAGATGAAACACTTCTGGATTGCGTAACTTTGATAGATACTCCATCATTCGTGGAAACAGAGAGAGAAATTATTATCCAGGAGGACAAAGCGACCAACAAAAAGTTGTCACTCACTCCTCCAAGTAGTTACATATGGCACTAAGGTATGGTTGAACTGAGAGTTCAAACATCGACCAGGAACCAGATCACTTGTTGATCTGCATGGTGCCAGTGATATTTATTTACAGAAGCTATTCATGACAAGTTTCAGTAGTCATGATAAAAAAATCATTCTTAGTTTATTTCTTTAAATTAATAATCTTGGAACAACAATATAAAAGTTCTTTCAGTCATACAGGTTGAAAAAGAGACACTTTGGCAGACTAGCTCATCAAGTCAACGATTTGGATTGTGTGATTTTGTTTTAAGTATGGGGATTTTTGTTGTTTGATTGCTAGGGACTAAGGATCGTTTTCACGTTTGGTTATGAATGTCCTAGTCGACCGGCGTACACTTCGTACTTGGGAGATCAGCGCCCCAGGGAACGAACGACGCACGGATTCATTCGGCGTTTAGTCAAACAATTCCTATACTGCAGCGAGACGAGCAAACGCCCTCGGCTAATCTACCTCTGCGATTGCACATAAAAGCCTTCGCACGTGGATCAGTAGCTCGGTAGGGATACGCCCCTAAGGGTGGTCACAACCCCTTAGGGATGCAAGCTTATGCCCCGCGAGAACCTGTCCTGTCGTAGGAGACCGTGGGATGTATAGCTGGCGCACCCGGCTAGAGCGACGAAGGAGCGAAGTAACAGCTTCCGTCTCGGCGGTTCACGGAACAGTATGCGTCGTTCCCGAGTTGTCTCTAAAAGCTATGTTTTAGGTAAACTCCTACGTGACATGGCCGGGAGAACCCTCGTTTTCACGCGAGGGCCGATGCGCTCGACAGCGAGATGGCAGAGCGCAGCTCCCACGCTGGACTCTAACGCACGTACTCCAAAGTGTGCGAATGTAGAATGCTCCGGAAAACAGACAACAGCTGGGGTATACCCCAGCGGACTGACTGGACTGGACTGGACTGACTGGTATCGACAGAGGTATCGGCCTGGGAAGGACTGCCACGAATATAGGTGGGGTGGGTGGGGTGGGTGGGGGAGAGGAGCAGGGAGAAAAGCCTGCTCTGATACCAGTGTGACTGACCCGCCGGGATGGCGGTCCGTCAGGATCAAGACGAAGGGATGAGGATGGGGGAGATGGAGATGGAGCTGGAAGGGACAGCGCAACTTCAACGCAGACTCAACACGCACGTACTCCAATCTGTGCAAATGAAGAATGAATCAAAAACAGACTACAGCTGGGGTACCGACTGACTGACTGGACTGGCCTGGTACCGACAGTGGTACCGGGCAGGACTGGAACATCACACGGTATGTGGGGTCAGGCCACGGCCTGGTCCCATAGGCCGAACTGGCATATAGCCAAATAGGCCCTGGCTGTAGGACAGGGCAGATGAAGGCCCGCTGCACGATCCTCAGACCTGTAATGGATCGCAAGAGCCATAAACACGCTATCCGCAAAAGCAGCGGAACTCTGCAATAAAGAAAGCA